ACAGGTGGATAACGAATGAAATCATATGGCATGCTACATCTTCAATCACAAAAGCTTTTGAAGAATATAACTTTCGTTTGCCTTAGAAGTATATACCCCTAGAAGCCAGGGACCACGAGGTTTTAAAGTTTGCGTACTCTCTTTTGTTCTCAGACGTCCAAAGGGTGCTGCCCTAAAGCAGTGCATATGTAAGATAACCTTTTAAACAGGTGTTATAAGTGTAAAGATTCTCGCATTTTCTTCTCGTGGAGCTAAAACAGAAGCAGGTCTTGAGTATCCTGATTCTCTATAGAACATTCGACTTGTCTTATATGAAATTAACGCAGAAATGTGTAATGACAGCCTTGCTAAGCCAAAACAACCATGTTAATATATCTATCATTAAAAGAAAACGCCCAAATCCTTTTTCTAATAGAGACGGTATGCATTATCTGCTATTTGAGTGTATTTAAGAAAATTCATGGATCAATTATGCTGTTGATGGTTTCACGTTATTTTGCACTTCATAGTCACTTGATCCCACGTGGCCTCATCTATTAGGTATATCGCAGACCTACCCTATCATAATAATCCCTAACTTATTAAAACAATTCTTGGGAAATGTACTTCATGTTCAATGTTCAACTTACTGGCATATTTCCAGACAGTGCGCTTGTCTTGCAAAGGCACCAGCTCCAAAGTATAATGAGCTATGAAGCTTATCAAGAATGCGGTTGACTTGAACAAACCAACGGGGTCAAACCAAGAACGCAATGACGTCAAACCGTCTTAAAGATAAGCTTTGTGTGATCAACGGCAAGACAGACAACCGCAGCCTCTGAACCGCATTGGTTGCTGGTCCACTGTAGATCGGGCTTGACAAAGGATTTCCTTCCAAATATTTGTGTTGTCATTATCAGTAAACATCTATGAATACCTCTCTGTGGTTGTCACAATTCATCGAACTTTAATTGTTAAATTTGTGTTTGCAACCTTATTGTGCTAAAATACTAGAGGTGCTAAGGGAGCCAAAAGTTGTATAAAGCTTACTACTGCCAAATAATCAATTTTCAGGCTGTCGTTAATGACTGCGTTCAGGCACAGAATAGTGACAAGGCAGAGAGAGCTTCCCTTCTAATATTTTGAAGTATTTTGCAGGCGTATGCGCGTGAAAAATTAGTTCGAACCTGATCAAGATTGTCCCCAGCAAGGTAAATCCGTTATAGTAATAGAGAAGGGTGCCCTTGTCGGGGACTGGAGCTAACCAGTTGCTACCTACTTTTCATAACAAAACTTGCTCGTTTCCTGGAAAAGAGGTTGAACAAGCAACAATTGTTCTTGTGGAAAAGATAAAAAGTGCAATGAAGAGTTTCTCCTTTTTTCCCAGTCTGTAGTTTAGGCATTTTCTGCTTCTTTCTTTGCCAAACATAAAAACTAAAATTAAGCAAAAAGAGCATGAATAATATGATAGTGAAATCATGAATAAAATTTGAGATCAGCTAATCCAAACAACAGCATACGTTACTAGGAATGACAGAAAATGGCAGTCAATGTCTGGTTAGCAAAGCTTTAATCAAACACAACCACTTCAAACTTTTAACACATACTCAGCTCGAATTATCATCTTAGGCCTGGTTCAAACGTCGCACTTCTCATGTGCCGAACCTAACTCTGTTTGGAGCGGCACTTGAGCATGTTTAGCGCGACTCCCGTTTCAAACGTCGAACTGAATCATGTCGCGCCAAATGGGTTTTAGGAATGTTACATGAAGTATCTTGGTTAAGGCGCGCAATCTCAAATATTTGCTTGAAACGCATGCGCCCTCCAAGAAAGAAATGAATTCTGGGAAGGGAAATAAATTAAATATAATTATGCATTGAGTTCTGTACATGACAAGTTCGACGCTTGAAACCGTCCGTGCTGGAGCCGTGCAGCTCGGCTAGCTCTGCCGATCCAAACTAGTCTGCCGCCCCTAACTAAATCTGCCGTACCAAATTGATTCAAACTTCGCGCTCCTCATGTACTTAATTCTCGAGTTATGTTCGGCACATGAGAAGCACGACGTTTGAACCAGGCCTTAGAGATTTTCTCTTCGTTGGTGTGATTTTCATCTATTTTCCTTTAATTATTCAATAGCTATTATCGTGCTGCTTTTTCGTCAGCTTTTGATGTTTGTGATTCCAATAACTTTACATTTTGGTTGCATCGACGCTTAAACGATAACAAAAACCTTTCTGCTTAACAGTCACGTGGTTGCGTTTTTTATTTGCCTTTTGTTTTCTTATTTTGAAACTCCAGCCTATTTCAGGGCATTTGGAACTTTTGAAAATCATCTATGTTGCCAACTGCACAAAAGAGGCCTTTGGTAATTTCCAAATCAATACTTCCAATTAAACTAAGAGCCCAAGGGCCTGTTTATATGAGCAAATATATCCCACTTTTCAGCCTATACGTTAGCAGAGGGAGTGAACTCATCCAATGTTTACATGCAGATTCTATCTCACCTTCCAGTTTATGCCTTCCTTGTTATCCCACTCTTAGCTTTCCCTTTTGACTGCAACACGCCATCTTTTTGTTACTAAATGCGAACACATGCGCAAAAATGAGACTTTCACCCTACTGTCTAGCCAGTTTTGTGTTTATATGGGAAATTCTCATCTCAAGAGGTGAGATCGGGCAAGCTGTAAGCAGAATTGAACACAAGATTGGAATTACAAAGCTTTGTACTGGAAGGCTGGATCTCACCTCTCAACCCATAGGCCGGATCCCACCTCTCAGCCCACAGCCTGGATCTCACCTCTCAGCCCACAGCCTGGATCTCACCTCTCAGCAAACATCTTGGATCTCACCTCTCAGCCCACAGCCTGGATCTCCCCTATCAGCCCACAGCCTGGATCTCCCCTCTCAGCCCACAGCCTGGATCTCACCTCTCAGCTCACATCCTGGATCTCACCTCTCAGCCCACAGCCTGGATCTCACCTATCAGCCCACATCATGGATCTCCCCTCTCAGCTCATAGGCCAGATCTCACCTCTCAGCCCACAGCCTGGATCTCACCTCTCAGCCATAGGCCGGATCTCACCTCTCAGCCCACAGCCTGGATCTCACCTCTCAGCCCACAGCCTGGATCTCACCTCTCAGCCCACAGCCTGGATCTCACCTCTCAGCCCACAGCCTGGATCTCACCTCTCAGCCCACAGCCTGGATCTCACCTCTCAGCCCACAGCCTGGATCTCACCACTCAGCCAACAGCCTGGATCTCACCTCTCAGCCCATAGGCTGGATCTCACCTCTCAGCCCACAGCCTGGATCTCACCTCTCAGCCCACAGCCTGGATCTCACCTCTCAGCCCATAGGCCAGATCTCACCTCTCAGCCCACAGCCTTGATCTCACCTCTCACCCCACAGCCTGGATCTCACCTCTCAGTCTATAGGCCGGATCTCACCTCTCAGCCCACAGCCTGGATCTCACCTCTCAGCCCATAGGCTGGACCTCACCTCTCAGCCCATAGGCCGGATCTCACCTCTCAGCCCACAGCCTGGATCTCACCTCTCAGCCCACAGCCTTGATCTCATCTTTCAGCCCATAGGCTGGACTTCACCTCTCAGCCCACAGCCTGGATCTCACCTCTCAGCCCACATCCTGGATCTCACCTATCAGCCCACATCCTGGGTCTCACCTCTCAGCCCACAACCTTGATCTCACCTCTCAACCCATAGCCTGGATCTCACCTCTCAGCCCACAGCCTGGATCTCACCTCTCAGCCCTTAAATGCAAATCATATTGTGAAACTTTGATTACTAAAAAATAAACATAAAATGTTCTGGGAAGAAGCTTTGGACATATAAATTTTGGAAAAGTTATTGTCAATTAATTCTTCAATTGAAACACTTTTCAGCCTCGATGTTCATATAGACTCTATTATCATAAAAGAATGCTTGTTTCAAAATACGTTCTAATTTCCATCCAATATTACCAGAAGAGCCTTGTTATGGAGCATGCCACAGTTGTGAGAGGCACGATATTAAGTTATTCTCGACCAAAAACATAAATTGTTTTGCGTGAAAAGTTTTTTATTCCGACCTTTGACTAATTTTGCAGGCATGTGTTCGCGCAGCTATTGGGCTTGCAGGGGCTAAAGCCTCCCCCTACATTTTTTTGCAAAAAATAGGCTAGAAAATGTTTTGTCAAGCTCATTCTAACGCAATTTTAGAAAGTTTACTCTAACGGAGCTTAAGTAGTAGCAGTTCTTCTTGACTGGGAACTCCTTTTTCTCATTTTCTCGGCGTTTAATCTTGTTTAATGATATGTTACATTTTCTAACTTGGTTAGCTTGGTGTTTGATAATGTTCAAGCTATTCATACTTGTTTTCATAGTAACTGTTATCTTCTCTGAATCAGACTGTTTTTAAAAAATTAGTGGAAATCTGCAAGTTTTTTCCAAAAGGGGCGTTTTCTGGTGTTTTAAAAGGCGTGGCCCTTGATAGTTTCGGTACTATTTTGACAGCTACCCTTACCAGCCTTAAACTTGCTTCTTTAGAAAATCTCGTTATCAACAAACGGGAATATATAATATTTATAAAAATTGCATTAAGTAAAGCTGCATGAAATATATCTTATGTCCCTTTTTCCTGTATCCTCTCAAATTTCACTGCATCGAGAGTTCATGCGAAAGAGTTTTATTACCTTAACAGTTGGAAGCAACATAATTTCAAATGTTTTCGTTCTTATAGATATGATTTCTTGAATTACAAATATACAGCAATTAATTTTTTTCCGATCCTGGTTTTGACCTTTTGCTACCTTGACCTTATGACCTGGTGATAATGGCTGAATTTATTTTTCGAATCTATTCTAAATGTAACAATTTTGAAGTAAACCCATAATCAAAATCACAAAGACAACGATTAATTGACTGGCAATTTTGGAACATTACGGAAATCTGTGTAAAGTTGAATGTGAATCTAGAATGAGAACCCGAAGTCAAATTCAACTAAAGAAAGTAGAACGAAAGCACATCTTAAAAGATCATAAATTACCGTTAGTCACTGAAAGAGTGTAAGCAATAAGGATAGTTGGCTTAAATTTAGCGATTATAAATTTTGAAAAATGTATATTGCACAGCTAAAAATTTACAGGTATTTACTCAAATAGGAAAAGTTCAAAGTATTTAGAAATTTATATGCATGTGAGCTAAAAGAATGAGATAATGTATGACAACAATTTCAAAACTATCAACTAGGGAATGACGGCGAAAATATGCACATACATACTGAAAATCATTTTCGAAACTGGCGCTTTTAAATGATGTAAATTATTTCTACGGTAACTGGAACTATAAAAAATCATTATAAACTTTAAAAAGAAAGACAAAATATGACTGCATCTGGTTTTGCAAATGATCGACTTCAGTACGATTGTGATTAGAAGTCTTTTATTTTCAACTACAAAATCTTGTTCTTATTTGGAGAATATTTGCACTAATTTTTTGTTCAAAGAATTTGAGAATGCCTTTTTTAAAATTGATACACTCATTTTTTGAATGAAGTTATGAAATGTTCGTGGCTTTCTTTCACGTCAAGAGATTCGCTTCCGTTCTGACGCTGTATTTAGACGTGGGAAGTATATTTTTATCCCTTGTGTCTTAATTTCTAGGCCATCAGGGCAGTCATGTTCTTGGATTTTGCAAAATTTCGTTGTTCTCAGTTTTATCACAATTTATTAGCTTCTTGTTTTTTTTGCTTCAAGAACAGAAGTTTTTTAATTTTTTTCTGACTGTCAAGTACACGTCTCTTATAGCCAGTTTCTTATAAAAAAATGAGTGTATGTTCTCTCAACTCATCACAGATGAATATTAGAGTTCATATATCACTTTAAAAACATTATCTGACTTTATGAAGACCTAAAAATCTTGGATAGAAAATTTAAAATCAAAGCTTTGGAAAGTATATTATACAATGCTGGGTAAAAGGATGATGCATCAATCTTAACAGAATACGAAACTGACGTTTTGCTGCTTTCGTACAGTTTCTTGTGACGTCATATCGTCGTAGCGGGAAATCGTTTCACGGGAAGCATTAATTTCAAAGAGACTTGTATCCACTTTTGTGAGGCTGAAGCTGTCAACCTTGGAATGTACGTAAAGATGATGTAAAACTTTTCTATCGAAAGATGATTTTCTAATGATCCAAAATCTTGCATCGTGCAAAAAATTGCTTTTACTTATATCGTCGGAATTTCTTCTTGCAAGCACACGAAAACATCGCAAAATCCACCGGCCATCGATATTCACAAGCCACTCAAGCTTATCACCTAGCCTGCTTTGCTTTATCTATTCCTTTTAGAATGGAAGAAAATGAGCTGTTGCCTTTCTTCTTTCCAGAAAGTCCTTCGTCGCTTGCTTTCTTCATGATGATGTGTCTAAGAAGTTCATTGAATACACGAAATGTCTCATGGTAGCCTTCAGCTACTGATATCTCGTAAAACAGACAACCGTATTTTTCAGCGAAGTTTCGTCCCTCGTCCAAGCCAACTTCTCGTAAATGATGCAAGTCTTTCTTATTACCTATTACTATTGAAAGTGCTGACGAATTTTTCACCGTTTCTATAAGTTTTGTTACTTCCCTGAAACTTTCGTTACTGGTGACCGAATAAACGAATATGAATGCGTCACTTGAAGAGATTTCTTCATCCCGCTTACTTATTGGATTCTAAAATGAAATAAAATGAACATAATAAAACATACCAATATTATAAGATACTGTGCAACGGAAAAGATCTATAAGATAGCACTTACAATTTACATTTACGATTTAGAATTAACACATTTACCAAACACTTTTCTTAATGGAGAGACGATATCTGATGACTAAAGCAACTCTCCGTTCTGGATGCTCATGAAATGAAGTCAATATTAGGTATGTTTTTTTACTCCAGGATGGAGGGTTGTCTCACATATTTGAAAATTCTTGCTCGCTTGTCCCCCCCCCCCCCCAACAATTTCAAGTTGTAACTTTTCATTATTCCTATCAAAATGTGTCTTTAGTCAAGGGTGCTCCTTCGTAGTGCAAGATGTCATAGTTGTAATTTGTTGCAAGGCATAAACCCTAAAGACAATAAAGTAACAAGGTATTTCACCAAAGAAACTAAAATTTTGAAATTAATTGCAGAACTCATCATAACTTGAAACTAAGATCATTAAAGCCACCATCGAGGCTTTTCTAGGCTTAAATTTGATATCAAGTCGATATTTTGGTTTGTCAAGCATTGTTCATGCCACGAACTGAATTGTGTCCCGGCGTCTTGAGGATAACATTTTCCCGCTTTTGTGAAACGAATGATGAGATGAAGTTGCAAAAGGGATTTGGAAATTTTCTATACTGTAAAGATCTTGTAGTTGTTGCTCACTGCTTCAAGTGATATCCCCTGTGTTGGGTGGAGGTACCAATGGCCAGTTTACTTAACAATCACAGTTAAATATGCCAGGTGGGGTGTCAAGAATTTTGCAAAAAAGAGTCATTGATTGCATTTAATTGCTAGTGACGTCAATATTGATAGGCTCATCGCATTATGTTTCTAAGCATAGACGACGAAGCATCAATCATCATTCATGCAGGATCAAACAAATATTATTCAGACTACAAGTACAAAGCACGTGTCATAGGCCATTGTTTCCTTGGAATCCCCTTTATAATGGAAAGGGCTTGCCTAATTAAGTTTTCAGTGTTACACTATCATTATCGTCTGATAAGGAAAAAGTTCAACAAATGCCATATCAGTGCTGCTCAAATCAAGAGATTGTAAAGACACGATAATAACATAAAATCTGCATGTCTCTTTTCGAGGATTTAATAAATCCTTGAAAAAATTTAAAATTTGCATTTTTCAGTCTTATTCACAGACTAAAATTTCTGTAAATCTTTGCATGTCTAAAATCTATTAAAAACATCAATGAAAAGGTTAAAGTCAAAAACATGCATACACTAAGCTACATACACTAACAGGTGTCAACATACCCCGCCTGCTGTATCTTTGATTTCAACAACAAGAGTGCTATTTCCAATTATTATGTGCCTGCTATGTGTGGATTCTGCAAAAAATCATAGAGATAAAATTAGAACAATTAATAGTAAGGTTCAGAAAATAACGCATGATTTTTTATGTTACAGACCAATTGATTTAAAAGATATACTCACAGCTCTGATTATTTCCAATGTCTTTATGAAGTAGAACGAAAGCTTATTAGTGCCAAATGCTTTTATTGGTACAAAGCAGTAATCATGAAAAGCTTATGTTTTATATTGAGCAACAATCACAGAATGTTAAAAACTTGATTTCAGACAATTATAGGTACAGTTAGGGAATAACATTGATTAAAACTGATCTACAAACAAGTAAGCAAAATACTGCAAACTTTAATGGCAGATCTGTTCTAAAAAGCACTTTTCATATCCGTCACAGTTTTTTTGGTAAATGAGTCTTGTTGTTGCCATCATATCCTTTAATGGTTTCAATGAATTCATCAATGAAATGAGCAGCTTTAAGGTTTATAAAACTCTCATTAACATGTCACCAGCAAGCCCTCATTTTTTCTGCATTAATCCAAAAGACCAAACGTATTCGCCTTTCTTTCATCGCATGCACCACAGAATAACCACTAGTCTAAAATTAGGCATGTTCGAAGATTTAGACCTATTGCGATAAAAGTACCATTCATAAACATTCCCAATCTGGATAACAGATAGAAAGTATAAAGTGCAGAACTCAATCCTTAGCACACTTGCTGCATACTTTATTCGAATTTTGGCCTTCCTGTAAGAACAGTTTGCGATAATTCTTACTCTCAGACAATAAATACAGCTAGTTCATACAAAATTATGCAATATGAAAAATGTAGTTAAATAAATGATATATTCATGAATTTACGTTTAGCAAATAAAATTGTTTGACTTTTACTTCATCAGGAATGCTTAACGTGGATGGTTATAATTTCGAAGCATATTATTTGAAGATATAATATTGCCTTTCTTGAAACAGTATTTAGCTATTTTAAGTCTTTTTTGAAGATTCTCCAGACTTACTGACGTAGCCTAGACCAGTGGCGTACCCAAGGGGGGGAAAAGGGGGGTCCAGACCCCCCCCCCCACTTTTCTAAAATATGATCCTCGAGATTTGTCCAAAAATGATGTTAAACTCATTGGGGGGGTGTAGTATACTGTATGCTTGTGTCAATAACAATTGTAAAATACTTTGCTATTTACCGTAGCTAACATTAATCAAATAATGGGGGGAAATTTTGCAAAAAGGGCGTTCCCCGCATTTGCGAGTGTCTGAAGGGCGTGGTCCAAATAATTTTCTGGGGCTCCGCCCCAGAACCCCTTCACTGCTGCAGCCCTGGGTATGCCACTGGCCTAGACTGGAAATAAAGTGCTACAAGATGCATGTATCTAACGTAAACGCCAACAAAATTTGATGTTTTGTAAATCGTTACACTTTTTTTAAAAGAAAGACCTTATAGGATAGGTAAAGCTCAATTATTCGAAACTAAATTTAAAAAGCTAAGAAACTTTTATTAGTTACCAGTTTTAATTTTTCCCAGTCACTCAGAACAATTTTGACATTGAACACCACTATAAACTACAACAGTTCACTTGACATGCTGATCTCTGCATTTGAGCTTTATCAATACTTGCTTTAAAATGCAACGTTTAACTGTACCTTGGAAACACGTTCAAAAAACAGCATATACTGTAAGAAACACGTAGAAAACTTTTGCAAGCAAAATGGCCCAAAAATTTAGAAAACGGCCTACAAGCACCAAACCTTAGTTTTTAGTAGAAAAATGCACGTGTTAAGATAGCTTAGCGAGTTCGATCAAAGGCTAGTATTTGCTACATTTATTTATGAAGATGCCTATGAAAGATGTAGATTTTTTTTAAAACCTTACAAAGATAAATTTGCTGTGAAAAATTTGCTGTGAAAGAATATAGAATTCCACAACATCTCCATTCATCTTTATTCTCCACTTTTCCATACTTTAATTAAAGTTAGCATTTCACCATCTGGCGTATGGACTTAGACCTCGGGTATCGGCACAGTGTGAACCAGTCTGCTTTGTAGTACACCTAGTACTAAGACACGTAGAATTAGCCACTTCTTCAATCAAGATGTTGCCAATGATGATCAAAGACATTTACGACAAACCCAGAGTAGTATCTATGCTAAGTTAGTTAAGAAAAGCAGTTTAGCTTTATAATATCTTTTTCATATGTAAAGTATACTTTTAATCTTTTAAGAGACCCAGATAAAAAATACGTACATTACGAAACTTATTCAGTGTTTGGAATGGCATTTTTTCCAAATTTCAAGTGACAGTTATTCACTTAAAGCTGTCATGAAATGACAGCCAACTTGACTTTTATCAGGTTTTAAGTTGTCAATGAGTATTCATTAGAGGCAAAACTCGGTAATGCTAAGAAGAAAATAGAACCCATATCAATTATTAGTTACGAAAGTATGATCACCAAATTAACACGATGGTAAAAAAGTACAACAGAATACATATTTAAATTTCCCTGTCGTTCTTTCACTCTTAGACAGCGGAGTTTCCAGCTTAATACCGGAGATTTTGCAGCTATGACATACCACATACACGATATCTTCACTTTTGACAACTTATAATTTTTGTAAAAGGCTGAAACATCACGTAAAAATTATACAGGGATCCACCTTTAATCTGTTCAGTGCTAGTTGCATCGCGTAATCAGTATAATGTTGCTCTGAATTTTCCTTTAAAGCGATTAAATATCCTCACCTGTTGCATCGTACTCTCCTATGAATCTTCTTGTTAAAAATCGAACCATAAGAGCTGCAAAAATAAATAAACAGTAAGAGCAAAAATTGTACAATCCATGGTAAATTTTAAGTCTATGTCTTATAATATCGGTCCAATATTCACTGCATATCCTCGAAATGTTTAGTTAATAGCTTCTAGTTCATTATATTTGAATTAAAAGACATTTCTTATTGTTTGTGCCACAGGAACTTTGGATAAAAGGTCTAGCAACCTTTTTAATTTATTTTTTAAACCTATTTAAGGTATTTTTTAGAATAAGTCTTCCTTATTGGCCGAGTAACCTGTTTCTTTGGTGTGCCACCCTATTAGGGGAGAGGGGAAATACGATTTCTAGAAAATAATACATAGAAACATTCAATTTTACGCCAAACATTTTTTTAAAGTTAGCTCTACAAAAGAGGAGCAGCAGGTCACTTATTTTTCCAATCCTTATTCCATTCTCTGCCAATGTTGTACGAAGGCTTGTTAATGAGGCTTTCAGCACCTTCTCGTTCAGCTTTGCTTTTAAGACTTTCAATCTATATTACTAAACTAACCATGAAATTATTCATTGCTGAAAAATCAAGTATGATTTGTTGCTGGATCTGTTTCAAAAGAAACGAATTAAGATTATATTGTAGTAGTATTTTTGCAGGATTTCTTTGGTCTTCAGAGTCTAGCCGATTAATGTAAAGAAAGGTTATGATATGACTACCAGCTAATACACTTTCCAGGTTAATTTGAATTATCCTGGTTAAGGCACCTAAAAATATGTAGCCAATTTTGATATCAAAACATTGCAGACCAATGGATCTTGTTTAGGGATATCCTATTACAATATACAAAAATACTGATCTAGGTTAATTACAAGTTTAAAGTTGATCATTATTGTTCTTGATTGGCTAAACATGTACAAGGCGCCGATAAAGAGGATGGGAAATTTCTTTACAAGACAGCGAATCGACAAACTTAGGAAACACAATTATTCCTTTTTATAAGATAACAAACTTGGCTTTCCGATAAGCTGTCTGCGGTCTATGTACTGTATTTGCCATAAACACAATTAGCAACCAAGTAATTTTTTAAATATTAAGGATGTGGTATGGTTTAATATTTTGGTGTTTCCTGCCTGATTCATGTGTCTAATAATATGTCTACATGGTCTATAGTTTCTTTTTTTTAAATTATAATGATATCAAACATGCTCATATTGAGTTTTCTTTGTTTAGATAGGCACAAACATAAACTAAAAATAATTTTTTCTTTCTTTCTTATTTTCTAAAAATATTTTCTTTCTTATACGAATACAAAATATTTTCAGCATAGATATTCTTAAGAATTTCGCTTTGCGTCTGTATTTTTTCTTAAATAATTTATTCCAAGTAAGTTCATAAATTTTTTCAAGTTTGCAGGGACGTCGTGGAGAGTGAATTCTAGAGGGGGCTGGAAAGAAAATTTTCAGACAAAATTTCTTTGATTTATTTGAAATAGAAGCATTTTATGTAAGTGTAAAGGGGGTGGGGCAGAAAAACTCAAAACTTTTGCCTCAGCTGGAAAGAAATTAAAAATGCACTTTTATCTTTTGTCTCTGTTTCTTCATATTTACAGTGAACGCGCCTGAGATCCGTAGATTGGGATCCAATGCTTCAAATTCGTCGGAAATCGCAATATTTGAAGCAAATTTTAATAATAAAATCTTTCTCTAGAATTGAATATTCACTGGGGGAAAGCGATGGTTTTGTTCGACTTCTTCCTCGTTTTACCCAATGCAACATAACTGCATAAATTTTCAAATCTGGGACACAATTTTTAAAAATTTGATGATACGCACAAAATTGGTATTGTTCCGCTCTTCAATGTCAAATAAAGATATGATTTATACCAATTTTGACCAATTTCCATAACCAAATTTGCCCCTGAAGTTTCGGATTTTAACTGAAAAAATCAGAACAGCAAATTCGAGAAATCTAGTATTTTCTTTACAAAAGTGAATTGCCCCTCGAATTTAGGTTAAGTACTTTAGTCCAAGTAATTTATGTTGCTAAGAGTTTGAGAATTACCCACAACTCAAGTTTGAGAATTTTCCGACTAAACCACGGTTTTTCCGAAAATCCATCAAATGGTGAGAGCAGAGGGGGCCACGACCCCCCGGCCCCCCGGCTACGACACCCCTATAAGTATGGTATGGTTCAAGGGAGAAAATCCCATGTCGTTTCAAGAAAATAGTAGGACAAAAAAGAATAATTTAACGAATTATAAAAGCAAAAGGGTTTTTAATAACCAAAGTATTCTAAAAACAATAACATGCTTTTAGTACGCAAGCTGAGGCTTACCAATATTTCTAGCAATTGGCGATTTGGGGCCTGTTCACTTTAAAAAAATATTTTCTAAAAAAGAGTGTTAGTTTAGATAAGATGACGACAACAACGGATCTGAGAACTTTTAGGAATTTTTTTCTGCTTTTATCTTACACTGATTCGACAAGTCTTATGCTTTTTTAGGTTTAGGTTTTAATCATAAATTTTTACATATTAATGATAAATGATATTCCTTGAAACAAGCTAGGTATCATTTGATAAAAGAAGATGTTACAATCCTTGAAATTCTTGTAACTAAAATTGTTTTTTGTCTTTCCTTCTCAGTGAATTTCAGCAAATATAAAACATTCACGTTCGTTCAAATTTAAAACATTCAAATTTCTAAACATTAAAAAACTGTTTGACTCACAATGATAACATTAATGAAATTAAAAATAATAAAATGACAGTGTCCCTTATTTTTCCAACATTAAAAAAAGACTGATCGTCATCTAGAACTCTTATTCAAACGCTTTTGGATGTTTTCATTAAAAATCTTTGATAATAAGATAACTTACAAGTACTATTCTTACAAAGAAAGTTGCCCTGCCTATTGGTTGGCTGGTCAAATAAAACGGAATTTCAAGTGCAGAAAAAGGACAGGCAGAGGGCGCATAGCTAAAACATATTATCTGGAGGGCAGTAACAACAGATTTCATATTTTGCAGATTCTTACTGATTTCTTATCGACGGACAGTTGTCTGTGTTACAGATTGAGACATCGGTCATGACATTGGTAACGACGGCAGGAAACTTAGGTTTAGCCACTTTAATGAATGTCTTTAATGAATGCTGCAATAACGCTTTTCAGACGTTGATACTTGCCTATTATTGCATTTTCATATCATTCATATAAAAACATACAGCTATCACAATGCTTAATTTTTTTTACAGAAGGCAAATTCGCATCGCGAAGACCCTCGCCATGGGTACAAGAGCCAAATATATTCGAGCACGGAAATCGAAGAGTGGAGCGGAGAAGGGGAGGAGGGTCTAGGGGTTAAAATAATTTCTTCTCAGGTAGACGCTTTGCGCTTCTCCGCTCCTCTCTTGTATCTCCGCGCTCGGATATATTTGGTTTTGGTACCAAGATAGAGGAACTAACGCGCTGGAAAAAAATGCAAAGCAAATTGAGTTGTTAATAAGGATGATGAAAATTGTCCTGATGATGTTTACAGGCGTAGGAAACAATAAGATTCGGGCAGATTCACATTAAGCTTTCTTAAATGATTAGCATCATCTGCTGAGCCCATGTTCGCAAAACAGCCTACCAGCTTGTAGCTAAAAGACCTTCAAGTGCGATTGATCTAGAACATTTTTGGGTCTAGTTTACTGAAATGCGCAGATTTGTTTATGTCATGTGAAACTGACTAAGCCAGTTTCAATACGAAAAACATGCTGTCAAATTTTATGTTTTGATGCAGATACCAAACCAGGCAAGCAATGAAGATTTTGTAGTGACGTAGAAGCTAGAAACTAAATTTCTTATAACAAGCCCTATCCGCTTATAAACCCTTGTTAAAAATAAACTTATATGCTTGTTACAAACATTTTCCGTCTTTTATGCCTCTGTATTGTAACAAGGTACCAACCCACATAAAATTTTTATTTTAAAAGGATTGAAATGTCATTGGCTGGATCTTTCTCATTTCTACAGTTAATAACGTCGTTTCCTACTGTAGCTTTCATTAACTGGCTACCGGTTTTACGCGGTAATATTTGTTTGTTTGGTTGCAACGTCTTCTGGTTTCTACGTCCTAAAATAGCAAAATCCCAGGCTCAGGATTTATTTGAATATTCGATAGTTATTCTTGATTAAACTGTTAGATCTTCTAGTGGAAAGCCAAACAAGCTTCAACTCAGTTATTCAGTGTAAGGGGGAAAGACTAAAACATTTTTAACTTAATTTTATGCATTATATAAGAACAATTCTAGTAATTTTTTCCCGCAGCTTTTGCTAGTGATGTAAATTGTAAATTTATCCTAAAATCTTTTATGTTAACCAGAATTTGAAAATCGTTGTCTATATAGTTTACATTCATCATCTAAGGCATGTTTTACATACGATATAGTTAAAAGTCAAAACATTTTATGATTATGTAACTCAACTTAATTAGTATCCAAAAAATAGGCATTAAGGTCAAAATCATTTTTATAATATATTACCCTTTCTTGCATTAAAATTATTCAGGTTTAGTGAATATTCCAGATTTCTGTATTTTGATGTAACCATAACTGACCTCTCAACAATTAAGATCCTATGATGAATGCGTATGTTGATGAGAATTGATATGGATAAGAATTCATTTTATGGGTTTATTATTTCACTTTTTGAATCAAGCTACCAGTCCTTGAACTATATTTGATAATCTTGCCATTATTTAGTTCATTTGCTTACTAAGCGCATGCAATTTCAATATAATTTCACATTAACTATTGATAAGGACATAAGATGGATCCTTGCGGTACCCTAGTGACTCCAGGTTGTTTTGATGGAACTGAAAACTCGTGAATCAACTAGGCTCAGTAATACCCTGACTATGGACTTTCAGCTAGCATTTAGGTGTGCCTAACAGAATCAAAAACTTTTGTGAGGTCAAGTAATACAGCTCTAACCACTAGGCCTTGTTTGGCGTATTTGCTTTAACAATGAAGAACTGCATCAAGCTCTGTAAAAGTTGTTATTTTGAAACAAATTTTCACCACAAGCAAAAAAGGCTACATAAGCAGCTAGTGAACACAAATGCGGCTGCGAGGATAGAAATTTTCTTTCATAGGAGAATCCCTCGTAGAAGAAGAGGGAGTTGTTACATGGGTCAGTGGAAATGTTAGTACAAAGGCTAAGTAAAATTTTTTCGAAAGGACAGACGGCAGATCAAAATAACCTTTTTTAGGATACCCAAACTTCAGTATCACATCTGTAGGTTGAGATCTATAAACTTTAATTAATTCTATCCTGCTGTAATAAGAGTTTGCTATATAATTGTAACAATTTGATTTCTATCTTTTCTCCTCAGCAAGTTATCGATCATTGTCAAGGGAAAGCATCGCTGAGACAATCTTGATTTGAAGGTTTTAGCACAGCACAAGGGAGCAACTCATAAACAGAAGGTATTCTTTTACAATAGACTCCTGCCGTTGAGTTTAACTTTCTGAAGGTACCTACAATCTCGGACAGATTTTGTTTAAATTTACACATCCCTCCTTTTTTTATTGTTTGTTCATAGATATGCAAAATAACTTTTGATGTTGGAAGGGGGCAGACGTTGAGCACAAATTGCAATGTAACTTTATTTTGCAAAATTATCACGTCAGATAAATTTCACACATTTTCGCGCCAAATTTGCATATAAGTAGGCTGGGAAAAACAACAAGAAGAATCGAATATAAAAATATTCCTTTCGAAACACAGCTATCCGCCATGTTGTTTTCTAGGAAGTTGTGCAATACTTTTGCTCACTTAGTGTATATATGCATGCTACCAGTCATGTGTTTAGAGGTTTATTTTAACAGCAGTGTCAAGGATTTTAGACATCAATGCTGTTTGTGTTCAACATGAAGACAAAGGTTTCATAAAATGGAGTTTCTGTGATTGATCTTACACATTTTATTGAAGCTACGGATGTTTTTCCTTTGCTGCAAGGGGCCTGAAGCCAAAGAAATGATCCACCTCTATTCCCTTTATAATTCTAAGGACAAGATGTTATACTCGCAGTGACTTAGAAAATAAAGAATGATCGATGGAAGACAATTACAGCAACAAAAAGTAAGAAGAGAGATCCATTCCTGGAAAAGACAAATTGTGTCCGAATGACATTTCTGCCTCTGTTGGTCATTTGCGAGTCACACTCTCTTCTAGGCCCAAAAACAATACACACTTTTTTACATTAAAATACCCAACTTTTTGCTGAGCAAATATATTCTCAACTTTGAGCCTAAGATTGTTCTTAAAACATTCTTAAGCGACATAAGGTAAAACCGGGTAAAAAATAGTTTCAGTGACTCGAAGACCAGATATGTCTATTTTAAGACATATAGCTTGAAATTATCATTTGTTTTGCTTTCTAAACAACTCAAAAAACAAAAATTTTATTCTTGAAGAAGTTTGAGCCAGTTCTTATTCTAAAATTTCACTGATTCTGACCTTCAATATTCTTATCGACTATATTCTTATGATAACAGAGTTTGTAGACAGGCTAGGATAATCATCAGGGAACCCTTGTCTCTCCAATATCATAGAGCACTATTCCATACGGCGTTTGAACTTCTACTCCTTACCACAAAGAGATTTGCTTTATCGATACCTTAACTTGTTAGCAGCCCGCAAAGCGCAGATATCCTTTCTGCAAACAAAACGGCTTGCAGCGCTCACTTGTCTTCTTCCCAAATGCTTTCCTGAATGAATCAGAGCGTCATTTTCCTCTTCCTATCACAAGGTCTAGGGTTGCCAGGTCGTTTGACCTGGAAAGTATGAAAGAGGATAAAAACTCGGTTTGTCTGGATATAAATCCTGTTCGCTAAATGTGATGATCAAATATGCCTATAATGAGGTACAAACCATGTCTTAAGAAAACCTCCTGTGAAATTAGTCTGCTTTTGATAGTTTCATTAAGACTCTAATCAAACAGGGAATTTTCTTCATGTGTTGAATTTGCGCGCTCAACGGGGTTCTTCTCCAGATAAAAATCTTGAAAACTCAGGGATAAGCTCACATCGACTTCTCAGATTTATTAGAGCTAAGATTCTTGTTGAAGAAAGCAAAGCCAAAATATATTGCAACAAAAGGGAACATGTGCTTGTTGTTGTGTTCTTACGCCATACGAGCTGTAGCTACATGTCATTTTATGTAACTTGTGCTTCTTTGACCCGCAAAAAATTACACAATGTAATTCGCAAAAACGAGAAAAAATCAAAGATCAGATAGGAGTCATTATTGATTCCACTCGAAATATAAGTTTTCCTCTAAAAGAGATGATTGTCTGAACATAACCTTAAAGAAAGTTTGAAAGCAAAAGCCGTCTTAACACAAACCCCAAGTCCCACCCTTGTTCGTACCCCGGGTGCCAGAGTCTCCATTATTTAATCAACAATAATTTATCCCCGGATTCATGAGGCTCTGGTACTCAAGGTACTTTGTTCGTTGATCCCTGATCACATTCTAACAGCAATCACCTCTAACTTTAAAGATTGGTGCCTTAAAAAATTTGATGCTAGCATTGTCAATCCAACACAAAAGTCAACGAAATTTAAAAAACGCGAAAATTCCTCGCAAAAATTCCAAAAATAGACTAACAATCCCAAGTATCTCGATAAGACTTTCGCATGAAAAATTTGTAAAGGTGAAGGGTTCTTGGATTTGCCAATAACTTGAAGGTTTGATACTGATGTTAAGACATTGAGGACGAAAACACATACACTCATTTTTTTATAAGAAACTGGCTTTAAGAAACGAGTACCGGACAGTCAGAAAAAATTAAGAAACTTCAGTACTCGAATAAAAAAAATTAAGAAACTATTAAATCGTGATAAAACTGAGAACAACGAAATTTTGTAAATTCCAAGAACATGGTTGCCCTGTTGGCCTAAAACTTGAGACACAAGAGATAATAATATACTTCCTACATCTAAATACAGCATTACAACAGAAGCAAATATCTTGATGTGATAAAGAGGTCACGAACATTTCATAACATCATTCTTGACATCATAATTAAGAAACTCTTAAGAAACAATGAGTATTGAAATTTCCAGAACATTAAGAAACTGGATATCGAAGAATACTCAATATCGACCTTTGTTTGTTATAAAAAAATGAGTGCATACCCCATGTGGGTGAGATCGAGAAAGGCGAGACCAGTTTTGCTGCGAATGTTGCGAGGAAAGTTGCAACAGAGTTTAATCCTATCTGAGCTCAACAAAGGACAATTCAATTCACGGCCTCGTTTTGAAAAATACTTCAATCATTTTAATTTCTTTATACTAAATTATTGACTTCACTATCGAATTGAATACCAAACATGCAGTCTATAGGAGAGTATTCGTGATGCCAGAGTTCGTGCTATTGATGTTTTTGTTAATAAGAGTATGACGTTGATTAGCGAAATCTGGTGAAAAACTAAACCTCGAACGATTATTGTTGTCGGACAGTCGAACTATTTACAAACTTAAAATTTTATATTGACATAAAATATACAGGCTCAAAAAAGGAATGAAAAATTGTCTTACAACAAATTAAATGATTCTAATTTGCGCCCAAACATGTCGAGAAGTATAGGTTGGGAGTAAGTTTAATTGATGTGTTCAGCAAGTAACATGACTTTAGTTGCTGTAGGCATACGCGAAGAAGATTATTGTTGGTAGAAGATTCTAGGAATAATATTGTTCGCTACTGATTTTCAATATGCGAAAGGCAGTTAATTTAAGAACTGATATGAGAAATATGTGCATGACCCATCATGTCTTAGATCAGGGGTGGGCAGCCTGGTTGAGTTTATATAGATAGTTTTTAACGATAGGTAAGACTGTTACAATCGTAAGCGCAAAAGGAAAAACTAAAAAAACCCAATCAAAATTAGAAAAGGTGTCCTTCAGAGTTAGGAGAAAACATCCTGGAAATGAGATTCAGAATTATGCACCAATCGAAGTGTAGCATCAGCCTTTTAGCTCAGACCATTCACTTAAATGTACTTAAACACAAATCTATCCAATATAGGCCCCCAGCGCACTAGCAACTGGGACATGAAAATAAGGGTCAACCGTGATCCCTGTTCAACCTCCCTTCCTAAGCCGGATTCTGGCCCCCCGGACCGTAGGTTGTCCGCCCCTGTCTTAGATTGTAATTGACATCGATGTTGTATCTTTATATTTGTGCCAGTCATTACTGAATTTATAGAATGAAGTGTTTCAATTTATCGCTATTCACATCTCAAATACTGATTTCACTGAGATGCTTAAAGTTTTACCCTGAGCCTACTCTGCAAAGCTGGATAGCGATCTTCATAGGCATATTGCACTCTCTGCTTAGGAATTTAGGACATAAACTTTTTGTTTTTCGCAATCAATACAATTTTCGTTAACACTAAAGTCGCTTTACTGATGTCTACTCCGCTTACAGTCATTCCTTTCAAAGACATGCTCCGCATACAGCAACTACTTTTCAAGCAATATTTGGTGATCAAAACCGGAATCTACGAAAATAACATAAGCACTAGTCAGAGAATCACTAATCAGAGAATTCTGTAACTATTAACCAAATAAACATAAAATAAAGTTCGCGAGCAAGTATAAACTAACAGAAAGAGGCTGGTCCTACGAATAGAAAGAGGCTGGTCCTACAAACAGAAAGAGGCTGGTCCTACAAACAGAAAGAGGCTGGTCCTTCGAATAGAAAGAGGCTGGTCCTACGAACAGAAAGAGGCTGGTCCTACGTACATTTTTTGGCATTCCTAACAACAAAAACGACAGGAAATGTAAGCAAATTGATATTGTAAAACTATTTATCGATCTCCCATAGATCTTAACCTAAATTGAAAATATATGTTATTTCCATATATGACTCACTTAATCATAATTTTAAAGATAATTCGCTATCAAATAACTTTACATTAAAAACTTCACAAGTTTGGTTACTGCCTGATTAATGATAAAATTAATTGCATTGGCCTAAGCAAAAACAATAAATTTATTTGTTACTAAAGTGTACTTTTTTTGCCTAATCTAGAATGCTTCTTTGACAAACGGACTTCGGGTAATGATAGGAGAGCTAAAAATATTCTAAATTATAATTTTGGCCCCATAATAATTTATTCTTATTGCATTTTGTAATTTACTTTTCACCGCGCTGCCATTCCTGCAGAACACACAAACCGCCTTATACAACTAATCCAGAGAATCTTTATAAAGTTAGAAAGTCTATGACATCGAAATTTATAAACATGATTTATAGTCCACGAAAACTAATTAGAGCTTGGGTCATCAAAATGCCAATAAAGTATTTCTGTTAAGAGTTTTCGACTGCCCTTTAATATGAATGTTTAGGAATCTTGAAAGTATGTTACAAGGAAGATTTAAAAGGATGGCTTTAATAAGGTCAAACTGATTGTTACCTAGGGTTACCATTAACGGAAACCTAGATTATATTAACTGTAACTAACAGGGGAAAAGAGGAGAAAGGTGTTACTATATAGATTAGTCTGCCGAGAATAAACATAATACAGAAAAATAAATTATGGTTTTGATAACATCTGTGTGCAGTGACGTCTTAATGCGTTATTGATATTACGTTGTATATGAAGACCAACAACAGATACCGAGGGGCAAGTCACTCCATGGAAATCTCGTACACCTCTGGCGAAAGTCCTTTTGTTTAATCCGTATAAATCCTTCTGTTTTCGTGAAAATCTCGTATGCTATTTGCAAGCGTGAATTGCCCCTCATCAGATACATGGTAAAGGTATTTTTTGGTACCGGCGCAGTGCTTAGTAGAGGAAAGTGTTAACACTTCCTCTGGACGATTTCCTCAGAATTTGGAATCCTTTTCCAGATAACAAAGAAAATAAGGCGAGGTTTGGGTGAAAAACTTTAATTTTTTTTTCTCTTATTGACCTTCTTCACGGTTTTGATATACCTAGTTAGTCAAGTGCACCACAACCCCCCACTCGAATACCCCTATTATAACATGAAATTGCTTTGGATTATACCAGTTAGTCAAGTGCACCCCCCCACTCGAATACCCCTATTATAACATGAATTGCTTTGGATTATACCACTTATCTGTTACCAAACTATTTAGAGGGTTTAGTTTGGTAATGAACAGTGCCTCTTTGCTTCCTTGCGTCGTAATCAGTGTTTCTGTGCACGGGAATAGCTGATGCTACAGTTTAAGGGTTTGGGGCTAAGTACGGAACTTGTCCGAATTTTATTGCTTCACTGAGATAGAACTGCCCAATTGGTGGCTGAAATACGGTAAATTTTGCCTGATAGGGGAGGGGGAGAGGTTGCTTGTCTCCTGCTTCTATGATTCCATTTAAATGCAAAAATAAAATCCTTGACCCAAAAAAATTTTCAACGGTAAGAAATTATTCAAGTAAGTACCAGATGAATATTAGAAAACTCTCCCTTATCGTAATGCATCGCAATCGACAAAAAGATATATATGATGCATTCCTCAACTCTGAAGCCTTCAAATTTATAATTCTTTTCCTTTATATAAAAACCAGTCTCTTTCGAATTTCAGAAAGGATTGCGATAACATTAATATAATTGTGTTTACGCATCTGAAATCAGATAATTCATGCATTCTAAAAACAAATGTAACCGCCTACCTCCATTAAGGCCCTGTCTCGTTTTGGAAAGCAAATATTTCTCTTTAGTATTAGAAGATCCTCTGTAGTATGTATTCTCGGTGTTGTATTCTTCGAAATATTAGCTGTACAGTACCCTTATCGAAATTCCAATCACATGTTACCCAAGAAAATGACATTATCAGATCTGATCTTTATAATTCTCTCTATAATGGAATATTACCCGGATTTTTGGTAATTTAAATTTCGATGCAGGTGGCTCAATCTAATAAATTTTAACTGGTGACATTAAATTTTGTTTTTTATTCACTATCCCTTATGAGATATATAGGAAAGAAGGCTCCTGGACCCAAATTTTTCCAGGAATTGATGTAATACTGTTTTTTTTAGAAAGAGTGTCTTTTGCCGGAAAATGTACCCTCGTTCAAGATTTTTCGAAGAAAAAGGGCCATTTTCCGCTGAAAGGTGCTTTTTTGATATCGAAATCAATCAAGAAGACCAAATGATGGAAAAGAGGTATAACATCCTTATTGAGGGTGTCATATAAAGGGGTGTATCCAAGTGCCCTGACTAGCATATCTAATGCACATTGCGCAACACAATGGAAAGGAGGCTACGTTTACGTGAGTCCTACTCGGCCCTACTAGTTTCGTACATTGACTTTAGCTTTTGCTTTTTATGCTGCAGAGGCAGTGGTACCTTGTGGCAACAATTACCATACCAGCATATCAAGCATTTAAATCTACTATAATACGATGTACATAAGGATTGATTTAGTCATACTCATAGTTACAGACGATAATCTCTCTCCTCATTATTGGTGATAGTTAGGATACTTATCAAAGCCTACACTCAATTTGATAGCTGGTAGTCGGTAGAGAGTACAGCAGAGCAGAGCCAAAAGACAGAAAATCTAAACCGTACCAATCTGTTGCATCTGATGCGGCTAAGGCGCTAAGTTCCAAGTGAGTGCACAAAAAGCAATCTAAGCCACAAATCTGCAGCATACAATACCTCTAAGTCTGTCAGCTTGAAAGCTGATTTACTAATCGGATTAATTCCAGTGGTAATGATAAAGCACTGCGAATGCATGCCTTGTTCTGTTTAATAGGATCTGTAGCAACGCTAATAAATAGACTTATTTCGTCGTTATTTCGATGCTTTTGGTATACAATTAAAATACCTTGAAGCAGACTTGGAACATGGAATTAACTTTCCATTAATGTTAAAGTCTTCATAATAGCTGTTAACAGATTTTGGCTTAACAACAGTAAAATTGAAAACTATTGCGTAACTTGGATAGGTCTTCGGTCAAAACTTGGCACCACCCCGTCAAGCATAAGCTACTTTTTACGCTCGAATGTTCCAGAATACTAAATAATTTGAAATCCAACATTTAATAAAGAAATAAATATCCTAATAACACCCAGGCCACAACTTGTATTGAAAGTACACTTCCAAATCTCGTCCCGAAACTGTGTTAGGAAATTGTTAATGGATCTCTCTTAATATTTTTCAAAACGCAGAGGCAGATGCTTACATGTGATCCAAAAATGAAATCAAAGCAGCGCTTACAAAACAAGCGATATTGCACGTTTAAAGTGATCATTCCTGGATTTAACTTGTTGTCTTTAGATGCATGCACTGTATTTCATTTCTGGAATTACAGTAGTGGCCCTAAACTGGAACTTTAACTTTTGCAAATGAATTTTGACCTGATCTACTGAATTTTGGATAGAATGAGGTCATGAAACAGGAGAAGTGAAAGCAACACTGTTGCAAAAGTTATTGTGACGACGTTTCTGTCTGTCTTTTAGTTCTCAACCAGATCTCAAGCCATTGAAGAAAACAGAAGAATTAGCCGCGAAAAGTATCGTTTTTAGAAGAGCCACGACTTTTGTAAAAATGATATACGATTATCTAATGGTTTGTGACAGAGAGCCAGGTCTCAAATATTAGCTGCAACTTCTTCAAATCCATATAATGGTGTTACATTGTTGCAAATTTCTACTAATTGTATGCGATACCACAAGACAGATCAATTACATTTTCATTATAACTACTTAATTTAAAAACAGTTACTGTCCCATCTGTATCATCAAATGTTGACCCCTACACTTCCACTAACTTGTTCATTTTGTCGTTTGTATTTTTCTGTTGTTGGATAGGTTTCTAGATCGTTTGAATCGTGGACATTGCTCCATTAACTAATATCCGCAACAGCATTAACTAACATTACTGCATTGGTTGAAAATTGTGGTAGAAAGCTTAATGTGGGTGCTCTTTTGCTGTTTTTTGGCCGGGTTAACGGCATTGCCTGAATGCTTAACTACAGATTTAATTCCATTACAAGGTAGTCACTGCCAACAGTCTTTATTTATCAACGTCCATTGCCTTTCCCCACTCACAATTATACATAGCAAAACCATTTAACATATCCACTGGACTCCTGCCTCATCAGGTTTGGACAAGACCGTCACCAGCGGGGCGAGGGGTGCGGGGTGCGCGAAGTTTTTCTAAGCAACTTGTTGAAAAGTAGAGCTTTGTCGAAAAATTGGAATGATTATCACTCTGGCTTTTCCTTGAAGGCGTCAATAAAGTTTCTAAAAGCAATAGCTTTAGCAAGAAGTTAGGCTAAGACGAGAATAAGACAACAGGCCCTAAGGTATCACTCACAGGCCCTAACATGAATTTGACTGTTCATTGTCGATTATAAGCAGAATTTCTCCAAATATTTTCAAATCAGACCAGAATGATGAAGTAACAAAACAACAAAGTTTAGCAAGTTCTAGCCGACCACAGATCCCCTTTTTAAAACTTCAGTGCTTAGCCTCATTTTGGTTGAGAAATTTTGCCTCTTGTCCGTGTTGCTTATTTGCTGAAGTGCTGAATTCTGCATACGTTCTTTATTCTCGTTTCATGTTATTAAAAAACCAAATGACATGTTTTCATAAACAATGCTTGCGAAATTTGTCGTGTGTTGCATTCTGCCCCAATAAGAGCAAGAGGCTCGTGGAAGTTTGTTAGATTGGTCGATAAGGCTACCATTTTGGGGGGTGGATAAGGCTACCATTTTGCAAATGCAAACTCGATTGTTGAAAATTGTGGAATGTTTAGACCAAATGGCCTTCTTTTTCATAAAAGAGATTTAACTTTGTTTAAAATAACTCAGATTTTTTACCTATATAGTTGTGAATATGTTAATGCTTCTAATTGGTTTATCAAAGTTCTTTATTATTGTATCGCAGAAAAATTCGCAAAGTAAACTTTCAAACACAGGGCATAGATATTTATTAGCCTTGGCAGATAAGACGATAACTTTTTGAATATTAATGCTGATTGATAGTCGCTTTTAGCTTTGTAAAAAAGAATGGAATGTTTGCTATCAACGAAGCAAGCAATAAAATTCTTCGGTTTATTTAATCACACAATAAACTTAGATGGGCGCTTGAATTCTAGTGGAAAACAACAACTTGCTTATACATTGGACGAATAACATAGGAACTTCATAAATAGTATTATACTATCTCTTTGAAACGGTTCCCTTATAGATTCTTTACAAGAGTAGAGGCGTAATAAGATTCTGTATTTATGCATGCTTTCATGTTACGTAGGAAACCAGCGTTTTCCTTCTACACCAAGTACACATTAAAAACAAGTTTTTATTTTAAAACCAGCCATGATTTTTTGTTGTTTGTCTATGCATGATTTTGAAGCAAAAAAGGCAAATATGAAATGATACTGTCAAATATATTACAGTTATTCATAGCAGCTTTTGTTTGCATGTAACAAATAGAGAACTGACATTGGTCATACACTTAATATATATTGGTTTTATTCAAGAAATTGGCACTCAGTATTTTGCAGTTCCAAGAAGGTTGACTGCTGTGTTGTACTATTGCAAAAGGAAAGATAGAATGGGTATGCAACGAGATTGTAATAGCGTATTTTTCAGTCTTTAGTCGTTACTTTGGACAGCCAGTACCAACATATGAGTTACCTTGAAATGCTACAATTGACTTAAGCAGTGTTTAAGTTAAATATTTTGATAGGATTACCTTAATATTCTAGGTAATTCGACACAGTATTAAAGGTAAGCATGCAATGACGCAATGTGTATTACAGTGCAGCTTTAAATAAACTTTAGGGTGTATTGCATTAAATTCACTTTATGATGTATGATGGTGAATAGCTCTACTCGGAAAGAATTTATAATTGTTGCAATATAGCTTGTTGCATCTACTTTAGGTATAGATATTGTTTATCAGGGTATATTAGCAGGTTGGTCAGACCTAAAAAATTGCATTTACTTTAGTGTCGCTTTCAGGTGACATAAATAGAGCAGTGTTTGCAGGGATAATTCTCAAGAATACTGTTCCCTTTCACCCCAACACTACAATATCACTTATCACAGGCAAAAATGGAACTATAAATAATGGAATTGGAAATATAAGACGCGAGATTGGCTCTGCAATAGAGAATCTCTTAAACTTACCAGATTTTCCTACGCCCTGCTTACCAAGCAAAACTAGTCTCAGTGACGGGAAATTATTCCGCTGTCGTTTCGACATCGTCTTCTTTTATAAATCGCAATATTGAGAAATCGAACCAGCACCTTTAGTGTTGCAGATTTACGTTACATCCGACAGTTCCACACTTTGCGATAAGCACTTGCGCCGTGAGAAATCACTGTTTAGATCCTGTATTGTACCATGCACTGAAGGAAGTTTATAATGAGGACAAAAGCCGGTGAAGTGCTTCAATACATATAGTGGTTGTGTGGTTAGAAAAGGCCGCGACTTGTTATGAAATTGGTTGAAGAGCAAGCTCTTTGCACAGACCTGATGCGAGAAGACGCCCGTTGTCACGCACTCGCCTAGCTTGGCAGAATCTGTGCTTGGGGATTTCAGTCCGAGGAAGTGCTTTACCTCAAAAATGCCTTCGTTTGTTTTTCTATATCTCTGTCGTCGGATTTTGTTTCACAAGCTTTGTATTTGTGTAGCGAGTATAGCTTTTTAAAACCACACAACAAGTTAGTTCCTCGAGGCTGCTTTGCTCCTTGTTTATGATTGATTTCTAAGAGGCAGTACTGCGACGCACACCGCACGACGTCGTCGCAATCTACACGTTCCTACAGCCGCGTTGCAATGCAAACCCACGTAGAAATGACGAAAAAGTCACAAATCAGCATTTCGCTAAATAATAGATTGACTGTATCAGTCGAGGGTGCCTATACTTAAACGCATACTAAATGTTTACTGCTGTTTCAGAAATAAAGCGCCCATGCGGGATTACACAGACATTAAATGGTTAGAGATAATCAAAATCTGATCCTGTTTATCAGCTCACTGTTCCTAATGATCTTCCGTAGATCGTTATTCAATTGTGTTGTGTTGTTTTACCTAAGACGTCTTTGCAAGTACATACGAACAAGTTTAGCTAACAACTGTGCCAGATGAAACCTGCTTTCTTCTGAAGGTACTACGAGATTTGCGGGTAGCTCTTTATTGCTTTCTCATTGATAAGCATACATAAGGACACTGTCCAAACGCTCCAAGGGATCTCACAGTCATTTGTCGAACTCTGACCATTATGTCGTGCACTGCGGCAAAGAATTTATATTATTTCGAAGCAAACAAAATTGTTGGTAGGAGATGTACTTGTTTGCAAACAGTCGAAATTTATTTTTGGCTGGATAATTCAAGCTGCCATTTATGAACCTATGTCCTTAAAATTGAATGATGCTAAACAATTATCCCCCTAACAAGTTCTAGAAATGTAGCGACGTTGTCTAATGAAGGTGTACTTTTTCTATGTTCTTTTTGAACACGCACTGTGAAACATTTTATGGTAGGACGTACTCCTCAATATTTGTTGTTGTAGTCACTTAATGTACACGTTTAAGTACGCATTAGAAATTAGATTTGAATTGAATATGATTAGATAAGTCATAGATTAGAACGGATCGAAGTTTGAACCTTATTAGAATTTACAATATGATTGATCGAAGTTGTACAGTCCTCTATTGGAATTTGAACTTGTATCTGTAGTACCTAATTTGAGCCACCAGCATACAGCAATTTCGCACACGCACATCTAAGACCTGTTTTTGACCCTAAAATGTTTGAAATGAAGTTATTATCGAGCGCATTCGTGGTACCAAAAGCAAACAGCTGCCTGTGACTGGTATGCAGCAAAGCTATGAACTTTATAGCTGTTGTGAGGCTGTTGTGGGGCTGTTATGGGGCTCTTGTAAGGCTGTTTTTGGGCTGTTGCTGGGCTGTTGTGGGACTGCTGTGGGGCCGTTCTTGGGCTATTGTGGAACTGTTGTGGGGCTGTTCTTGGGCTGTTGTGGGGCTGTTGTGGGGCTGTTGTGGGACTGTTGTGGGGCTCTGGTAAGGCTGTTTTTGGGTTGGGACTGTTGTGGGGCTGTTGTGTGAGCAGCTGTTGTGGGGCTCTTGTGTGAGCAGCTACACTTATCTCGCACATACGGACTAGAAGGAGGCAAGCAAGAAATGGTTTCCTCCACCAAGCACCATCAGTGACTGTCGCATTTAATTGGTTTGCTTTATTTGAACTGTGTCTAAAATTACTACTTGCAGTTTTTAGCATCCAAAGTTAGTTTTCAGGACACTGAGAATCTTTGCTTATCGAGCACCTCCCTGGTCATTCTTCTCGATGTGACCACTCCTCGTGGTTATTACTTGTTTATTTTCTCTGTTATATCAATGCATACAGACATTTTTATCAGGCAAGTTTTTAATTATCAAAATGTCATGCGTTTTGTTAACTATTTTACAGCAAGACAGACTACTAGTTTTTTCGATTTGTTCTGTGTCGTACATATCTCAAAAACAAAGTGCGGTGAAACCTTTTGTATTGAACATCAATAAAAGTACATCAAAAGTTTGGTTTTTACATCTTATTAACCTTTGCTGTTTCATACATACGTTTGCCTGCTCAAAGATAAAAGAAAATTCTCTAGTATTTCTAAAGACAGCGTTTCACAGTTTTTTCAATCGTTAATTATTATCCTTCAAATAATCCGTGAATAGAAGCAGCGGCTCATGAAGACCTGATGATTATATACAAGGGGTAGGGTTTCACTTACGAAACAGTGCAAAGGTGACCCTTTTCTTTGATTCTAGCAGAACTGACAAAGTTCTAGTGACAAAGACAAAGCAATGATGACACATTTTATGCGTCAAATTAAAACATTTAGACCAGTGCTGTGCTCATTGCATTTTGAAAGCATTCTCTGACAGTTAATATGAAGGAACACTTCCTGGAGGATAAACTCTAAAATAGGTTGACACGTGAACGCTTTACTTCACAGATTAAATCATTTCCAGAAGGCGAGAAGTTTGAACACAAGGGATGACATGTTTCTATATGATGTTTTAAAGAAAACATAACTTTTAGCCTATCCTATACATCACTATAAAAACATCGTGGTTCAACCTCCCCCCCTCCCCACCCCCACTCCCCCCTTTCTTTGAGTATCCTGAGTATAAAGGTCTGACATATTATTGGGAATACAAATATTTCCATTAAATAGCGTATTGCTTTCTGCTTCCTTTGGTAATTCAAACTGTGCGTTGGGGTACCTTGAAATTGAGGTCAAGAACGGATCCTAAATTAGCCAAATTCGTAATGAGTTTAACTAAGATGAATGTTCACATACAAGAATGATCAAATTCCACGTCAGAATCCAACTGTATGCAATGGCCTTGTTTGTCTCAGCTAGAAACGAGGCCCACGCAAAATAGCTGAAATTTCATATTCCTTTTTGTTAACATACCCATACCGATCATTTACTATTGGAAGATAATCAAAAAGCAGAATTACCCTTTTTGAAAAAGAGCTTTTGCATTTCTAGGATTTTTAACATTTCGTTATGTTTGACTGATTAAAAGCACCAGGATCTCCATTATTCTGCATTCCACTTCTATCAACATTCTCTCTAGATTCATTCTTGTTTTTTCTTTTAAACAGCGATTCCAGCAATGAGTTTGCCAAAGAAGATCCCTGTGTAGAACCGCTCATTCAGATGAGGATTCAAATAGCCTTTATGAATTTGCCTCATTCTGAGTTTTTGAAAGGTTAGCCCTGTCTTTATAGATTCTTTGGTCGTTTGCTTTAAGCTGCCACAAAAAGGTTTTAAGGGTAATGTTTTTATTGCTTTATTACCAATACTTATAAAACTGATTGACTGAAATATTCTATGAACAGTTTTTGACTTGAAATAAACACTGAAGTTGCTTTCAAAAAGCCCCTAAAGCGACGAAAGGGCAAAATGAATCGTACGGTTTCAATCAAAATATTTGCCTAAATAATATTTTTATGACATGATAAATGCACATGAGATATTTCAAGGCTCTTTGTTGTAAAAGCCCTGGAGTTATTTTTATAAACATTTGATTAGTTTTTATAACGGTATCTTTAAAATCTGTTTATACAAGAGCTTATACATAAAGAAAGGAAAAAGTAACTGTGTCAAAACAGCCGGTATTTCTGGAAGATATTTGAAAGTGCCTGTAGTTAGCGTACTTTAAAGCACTGGAATTGCAGGTCCAGTTCTTTTAAGAATATACATTGACATCCTTCTTGTTCCATAAAAGACGTATTCCTTGTTCTATATGCAACAATGAAGTTAATATTATATATAGATTAAGCTAATTCCTTTTTTCGAACAAGCTGTACATAAATTCAAGTGCCATATTGCTCAAATGCTGTCTTAACCTTAGCTGACGTAAGATCAGGAGGTAGACAATCAAGATCTTTAGAACGATCACAATATCCGTAATTTATCTTTTTTCTTTAATTTTAAGATTAGAAATGCATTTGCAAATGAAGGGGAACGCTATCGATTTATTCATGATATTGATGGAGGGATGATATCGACTGAAGTGTTGAGAATTGCACTTTCTTTTCCCAGGTTATTTATGAGTTTTGTTGTTTATTGGCAATTCCATTTCTAAATGTTGATACATCTTGGAATTGTTTTTCATTTTTATGATGCGAAAGCGGCTTTAGAAACAATTTGATGATGAAAATGACGACAAAGAAGATTCTCAGAACGATCGCAATTTAAATTTGGTTGGGAATCTCTATAATTTTGCTAAAAAATTATTGTTCAAATTCAGGCTATCAGTGATGTCAGCAGAATGCTCAATACAACAAAACAATTGAACTATGATATTCTTTAGCTGATGGGGACTTTAGAAGAGACTTTTTTTGTCAGTTTAAACTCAACCCTTTACGAAAAGTCTCTAAGCCATTGATAAACATGTTCTCAGAAATTCTGTTCTGCTCAATGTTTTCCCAAGTTAGATAAAAACATCACTCTGTTATTGCTAAGAGTATACAGTGGTCTCATTAATCTTCTTCTGGTGAATTTCCTTCACATTCTTTTTTCATAATTATAGTCTTTATCCATTAATAAAGAAGAACATTGACATGGGTTTTTAATTAGTCCGTAATGTTTCCCTTCATTCGAGATTTAAATATTGATAAGTCCAATCAATCAGAAGATAATGCTGTTCAAGGAAACACGGTGAATGGCCTATAGTTGAAGGATGTGTCTGTTTATTTGAAACTGGGACAAGCCTAAGTAAGCCACATTGACATTAGCTTTAATCTTTGATAGTTAGCTATCCTGTTTGCAATCTGTAAAACAATAATGGCGCCTCAAAACTTCCGAAGGTTTCAGCCCATGTTAGTTGTATCGTCCAATAAAATTAAAAACGTAGAGCTGGTAGGATGTAGTTTTTCAATAGGCACTGCAACACCATCTTTTGCAAAATAGTTGCATTTAAATTAGTTGCCAACGATTTAAGTCCTAACACTTTTTGTGATTAACAAATCTGTTTCTGCCCAGATTTTATTGTTCTTTCTTTGTTGTTTATGAAGGAAATTCCAAAAAGTTGCTGTTTATACAAAACTTTAATAGTGACATTGAAAAAGCGAACATTTCTAGGAAAACTAGAGTTTTCGTCTTATTCTACTAAGGTAAAAAGGTTAGAATCGAAAATATGCAGAGTAGTGGATCGAAATTTGTCAACATGAGACATGAGCACATGACGATGGCAATTTTTCATTGGAATAATGATGGTAGATTTATTTTCAATGTTAGAGAAAAAGTCAGTGTCTGCTTTTACTTTCCTGATTCCTCATCACTCT